ATTGTTGTGACACTGGTGGGCCATGGAGATTTTATAGCATGCTGGGGGGGCCTCAGAAAGATAAATATTGAGAACCCCTGGTCTAGAGGTCATCCACACAGAAGAGAGAACGACTCCTAGGGGAATTCTGTGCCATTGTGCACGTGCAGAAGTCATGTGCCACACAGAATTTGTTTTCCTTAGCAGATAATGCATTTTGATGAGAAGTGCTGCAGTTACGCCTTTCCCTGAGCAGGGGCCGTTGTGGTGTCAGGACAGAGAGCAGACGATCCCAGTCGGGAGCAGCCTGAGCTGTGAATAGGGAGAGAAAAGTCTGCGTTCCTCACAGAGCTCTGCCCATGGGGCCAGGCCAAGAGGCAAGGGATACGTGGGGTACATGGGGATACATGGGGCTACTGGAGGGGCGCACGCAAATGGGACGGGGGAGGAGGTGGCTGAGTGGGGGTGCAGGGCCACATGGGGATTGGGGAAGGGGCTGGCTAAATGGGGGACACACATGGGGACACTGGCAGATGTGCCTACCTCAGAGAGGTTAGGGGTCAGCATGGGGAAGGCACCCTAACAAATCGATCTCCTCATTCCCCCCGCTCAAAAAAACAAACAACGAAACGTTCCATACTTCTACCACCCATACAAAACAACCCTCCCAGTTCACACCCAGGCTCCTTCCCAGCAATTATTTCTCTCTCCCTCAGCTCCTCCATTACCCCAGACTCCCCCAAGCCTTTGTACTGCTTCTGAGGGGTGCAGGAAATACATTTCTGTATTGTAGTCTAAAGAATTATTACTCAAAGTTCTTTATTAATATGCCTAGTAAGGAATCTATTTGTCAAAAAACGTTTCCTGAATCTTTTTTGTTGTCTGTATTGCTACAGACATACTTGTTGATGGGTATTTTGAAATAAATTACCAAAATAATTGAAACTGGCATGTTTATTTTGTGTTATTTTGACAAATAAATTATGCAGAATTTTAAAATACTGTGCACAGAATTTTTAATTTTTTTGGCACAGAATTCCCCGAGCAGTAACCTACTACTGCTATAAATTACTCCTTTTGCTCAAGAGGCAGAGGTCTGTGTGGTGGAGCTAAAGGTCCCAACCCTGCTGACGACCCACATGACTGAATTTGTTCTTTCAGTTTATTTTTTTAAAAACCTTGGAAATTACATATAAAACACTAAATTAAGGTTGCAAAGTCAAGCACTCAAAAGTTAGGAAATGCCAGAATTAAGACTGCCCATGAATATAAAGTGCTTCTAATTTGCCCCCACCCCCACACTTATGCATGATAGTCTTTAATTACATGATAACATGCTATTTTTTCTTCCCCCACAGGACCCCTGCCTCATTCAGTGTACAGGATGAACCCTCTCTGAGGATGAATCAGGACTGTGTAGTGAAGAAGTCTTGACTGTGGGACCCCTGCTTCATTTGTTCTGAAAGTTGGAAGGTATGTAGAGAATGACAAGGGATTGCAGGAAGAGAAAGGATGGTCTCACTGTTAGGGCAGTTGAATGCTGCCCTAGAAAATGTTATTCTACCACTGACTTTGCCAGTTCCTATACGTTGCTGTGCAGGTCACTTAAACCAAACTTTTCACTAGTGGGCACTAATTGCGTGTTTCGCATTTTCTCAATGTTTGAGTTGACACCCCAGAATCTAGTGGCAGAAGTTTTGAGCACTTGGACACAATTGAAGTTGGTGGGACTGTGCTTTGAACATAACATGCTATATAATGCTAAAGACTCTGGAAAAAAAAAAAAAAAAAATCAGATTCTAGGTCCCTCAAATTGGGCATCCAAAATTAGTGGATACTTTTGACCTTAATCTCACTGTGCCTCAGTTCTCGATCTGCAAATGGTGATAATTATACAGTCTCATCTCAAAGGGGTGCTGTGAAAATAAACTCCTTACTCTTTATGAAGCACTCAGCTATGACCGTGATGAGTGCCAAAGAAGTCTATGAGGAAATTAATATTTCTGTCTTCAGAGAAAGGTTTGAATAGCACGCAGTGAATAAGGGCTAGGGCCACATATTGAACAATGAGGAGGAAAAAAATATTGATTATCTACTCTAAGTCTGAACTGTCCATCCTATGCACTGAATGAGGCAGGGGTCTTGTGAGAAAAAACAGTATGCCATAATGTAATTAAAGAATGTATCACAATGCATATACACATGGTGACCTGATTTCAGTTGTACAGGCCACCTTAATTCTGGCATTTCCTAACTTTTAAGTGCTTGACTTTGCAACTTTACTAATATTCTTTTAATCAATGTACTTTTTTGGGGGTGTAATAGATATAATTTGGCAAATCATTCCATTCAGTAACTGAACACATACCCAGCATGTGACTACATGATGCGCTACTAAGATTTTCTGGAACCTCAATTAAAGAGAATTCTCTACTTAAGACACAGGTTATTATTCCAATACTCATCTGTTCTTTTTCCAAAAGAGATGCCCCATCCTCCCATTCTTTCACAAGTCTTTTTTAAAACTGGAGTCTTTTTTAAATTACATTTCCTTCCAGATTGTTTTAGTAATAGCCTCATTCAACTGTGATTATTCTGAAACTAATCTCCCTTCCTCACTCGACTAGTTAAATAAATAAATTTTGATTCCAACAAGACTGTGAGAGTTAACGGATTCTCTGAACGAGGAACAGAAACCAAGTGTAGCAGGGATTCTAGTGCCCAGATGATCATCTCATTACACATTTTGCTAACCCTTGAGATGGAGGAGGTGGTTTGGTAAGAAAGTTCTCTCAAGTGCCCCCATCCCTATCTGTGCCTTCCTGAATGCATTTTAAGAAGGAGGAGGGAACTAGTGCTTCCTTAGGCCAGAAAAAACTAGATTAGATTAGATAGAGAAAGAAAAAGATGTTCAAGGCAATATGGAGTAAGTAAACAACAAATCCCAAAATGGACTGAACAAAAACAAAAAAAATGCTGGGGCCTAAATAATTTTTTGTATGTATGTATGTATGTATGTACGTACGTACGTACTGCATAGGACAATTCATAATACATATACCCAAATATTCATACATGCGTACATATATTATCTCGCACATTTATTTGTGTAAACCAGACACCAAGCAAGCAAAAACCTGATAATCAAATATTAAAATATAAACATCCTTGTAAACCAGGACAGACAGCAGATCCAGAGGGCAGTAACAAGTTTCCTCCACTTAGAGTGCCACAATACCATTTCTAAAAGCATTCACCTTCCAGACGCCAGTGATGAGATTTTCAAGAGCGCTGAGTGTTAAGAGACAAACTCCCACTGACTTAAACTGAGAGCCGAGGTAGGCCAACACAGTTCAAAGCATAATCCTATCTATCTCACCCACTTCCACAATATACCTTACTTCCACTTATCCAGGGAACAAGAGACTTTCGATCAGTTCTGCTTCTCCCATATGAAAACTCAAGAGTTTTGTGCAAAGGATTTTAAACTATGTAAAATGCTGCAAAGTAAATCTGTAGCCAGATGGCCAAAGAATCTATATTTGAATACTGAATACCTATTTGTGGTGGAAAGAAAGGAATGCTGATACTGCTTACAAAAAAATTGGAGCTATTTGAAACAGGACACTCATGTAACATTTTGGGGAAGTTAGTGATGTCACTGGCACAGATGACAAACAGCCACTCACAAGTTGTCAGAAGGGTGGACTGGCAGAACAAAGGAATAAAATAGATTAGTAATGAACAGATAGCATGCAATATCATAACCATAATAGATCTTGCACTTCACTGTATATCTTAGCAATGTTTGGAAGGAGTCTACCAAAGAGTATAATTCCTCACAAACATCTGGAAAAAGACATCCTTCAAGAAATTATTCTTATATGAAAATAATTGTTGGAAGCCCTTTCACGCACAAAGTACTTACCTCACTGATTAGTTTTGTTTTGCAGCATCAGATTGAATGCTGACGTGATGACTGGCCAAAATATGAACTACTGATAATCATGTCACTACTAGTCAAATACAACTAATCATCACGCAATAAAATGCTTGTAACATGGAACTGGCAGTGTACTTTTAGCCTTATCAGTGACAAAATAGTTTGCAGAAACATTAGTCAGGGTTTACTTTACCACATTTGGAGCCAAATCATGCAGACTCTACTGTGAGAAGACCCAATCAAAACTTGAAAAATGTACCTAAGCTTAATTCCCTGTCTGGAGTGGCTTATTAACCAGGTGAAAGATACTCATAGTGCCATAGCTCATGCCCCCACAGCCATATCCATATTGCCTTTCCCCATGCCCCCACGGCCGCATCTGTTGCAATTTAAAGAAATAGAACAGTTATTCCATCTATTAAGCACTGTAATTGTATTTTGAGGGTTATTGATCGAAGAGTGCTTGGTTGTTTCCGTATTCAAAAGAGTATTAATAACATTGATATTCTTAGTTAAATAATTTTTCTTACGATAGTGATATTGTGCAATAGAGGGAAACTGTTAAATGCTTACAGTTTCCAGTCCATTTTTACATTATTTAAAAAAATATATATCGGCTTACAAGGCAGCTGTGGGGGTGGGGCGGGACTTGGACCCATTCTGGGCACCACCAAAAATTATACAAACCTGCCGCCTCTGAGTGAATATAGTGTTTACAGGAATGAGGGGTTAACAGCAATGACCTGAAACAGGCATGGTGAAGGCAGTTAGCATGAGGCCATCCCCCACATACTTTTGGTCAACATACCTCATGCCTAACATTTCTTACTGCTCAATTTCTATTGACCCAGAAACTAAATTGTGCCAGTCTGTTGTGATTAAATGAGCAGCGGGAACCTTAAATCAATTAACACATTTGGATACCTTTTCTGCCTTCGTTTGACTTCACGAGTTGTAACACTAGCAACAGTTTACCAAACAAAATGTTCTTCTAAACCTTTCCTAACAAAAGATGCAATTGTTATCATTCCTCAAGTATGATTTTAATGTAACCACAGGCCTTCACCTGAGATCTCACCTGTTTTGTTGACTTTTTAGTTCCATTAAAGATCTTCCAAGCAAGCCCATTGCCACCACTGGCAATATGTCGGCCAACATCAAATTCCCTGGTAACAGGATTTCCCATGACCGCACTGGTGACATCAGCTGTTACCTTTGTAACGGTACTTTTCAACTTATTCAGCATGGACTCCATTGTCCCAACTATATGCTATCACGTTAGCCTACAAATGTGAAGGGGAAAAAAAAAAAATCACAATTCTTTCCATTTCTGTTAATGGAAGGTACTGAAAATGGTTAGTTTACATTAGTTCATATTATTAAAAACACAGAACACAAAGCCAGCTATGGGAAATCTATATTTTAAAATGGAAGAGTAAAGTTTCATTTTTTTCTTAAAAGAGAAAACCTGCCTAAGATCTCAAATTATCAACAGTATAAAAGTATATTTACACTGAAGACATTTTAAAAATGAGTTCTCGCTCTCTCACTGTACCTGCCAAAACCCACGCTCAAAATTCAGTTTTACCTGAAACAACTGCTGATGTTATTAACACTTTCTGTTCTGATGTGTTAATGAGTTCATCAGCTGCTGCAGGGAAAGTGGAGAAACTGCTTTTTCTATGCTTTGCTTTAGAATTAGTGCTTCTGCATGGTTATTCAATTTAAGAGATGCAAGAGTCTGGTTTCCAATAAAGTTCATTTTCACCTGTACTATATATTACTGTACTATAATTTCCTCACTTAACTGAGGTAGTTAATTACAAACAACTGCTGCCAGAGACGCCAAGAAAACACTACCGTCCAGCAGCTCAAACCATTAATACGAATATCTTTTTGCTGCTGGGTGTGCTATTGGAGGAATAGGACAAGAAACTTATACTGAAACAGGGAGAGAGACATACATACATCTTGTTCCCTACCTGCAGTAAGAAATTAGAGAAAGATGGAACACAAGGAGAAATTAATTGCTAGTAACAGTTAACATACATAGAACACCCAAAAACAAACTCTAAATTAAGACAGCCTCCAACTTCATCTCAAAGAGAGGGTATGGAGGAATATTCATTTCTCCACCAGACAAAGGTGAAACAAACTTGAAAAATAGTGCACCAGGGAATATTTAAGTGTGTGTAAACATATTGTTTAAATTTATAGCCTTATTGGTCACATACCTAGGTCACCACAATATTATTCTTACAATAACTAAGTCATTACCTTCTGGCCAACTAGCCTCATGAGGTGGTTTAGTATGTTTAGTTCGTACCATCTTCTTTGACATTTTAGACATATTTACATGGATTCGGAGTATCATTTCACCCACCACTCTAAAGAGTACCACTGTGTTTTCCAAATGGAAGAGAGGATGTTTTGGGGGTGATACAGCAGATGTTTTCAAAATTATGGAAAACGAGTGATAGAAATAAGCGGGGGACAATATCTAAGAATGAGGTAACTAGGATTAAATTGAAAAATTTTAGCTGTTTCATGCAAGTTACATTTCATTTCGATCACCTGCAGGTAAGTAAGTTTAAGTAATTTGTTTTCAGAGGTTAGAATTGTGAGTGAGGGTACTGTGGGAAAAAAACAAACAAACAACCCACATGCACCTGGGTGACAATACTCCCTAAATTTATAATTCTTATAAATTTATTGTTAAATATATTTATTGTTAAAATATATTGTTATATTTGTAATCCCTTTCAGTTTTTTAATTTCTGCTGAATACTTCACCCCACTTGTGCTGGTTGGAAAAAACATGTTGTAGAAAGGAAGGGCGCTGCCTACTTAGGTACCAGTCCTATAAACATTTAGCTTTAAGCTCATGAGTATCCCCTGTGGCTTCAATGGGACTATCCACATGCATGAAGTTAGGCATGTGTGTAAGCATTTGCAGGACCAGGGCCTTAATTACTTAGGTATGAAGAGTTAAGTATTGGTAAATACATTTCATCTGAAGCAACTGAACTTCATGATATGGAACCATGCCAATGAAGCAGAAATTTCCTGTTCAACCAGCTACTGAACAGGAATAGAGTGACCAAGGAATGAGGTAGAGAATTATTTCAGAGTAATTATGTATTAAAGTGTCGAGTATTCATGCTCTGTTGGAGGGGTTAGTGAAAATAAGCTAGAGAAATTTACTTATTATAAAAAATAGATATACCTTGTGTATTGAGTTACGGTAATTATACAATTTGTACAAATTATACAAATTGTAGTTGTGTCAGCCAAGATAAAGACTGATTTCTTATATATAAACTCCCCAACCTAAGGAAAAGCAGTTGCCTACCTAATAAGTACGGAAAAACACCATGCCTCATGGATCATAGGACAGCCTGAAATAAAGAGATACTGGTATCTGTAGTCCTTCAGGACCTTATTCTATAGCCATTCTGCATGGGTGCTCCACATGCAAAAGGACTACAGAATCAGGGCCCCAAGCAGATACCAAGATAAAAATATATAGTACTGTATTTGATTTCCTGATATTGCTTTTTCTGTAACTGAAGATTTCATTCAGATAGGCAGAAACAATATATTCCAGTTTAATCCCTTCTAAGCGTCTCCCCTTCTGAAATGCCTCTTCAAGTAAATTTGGGCCCAAACATGCAAGGTCCTGAGCACACTCTATCCCCGCTGAGATCAACAGGGTGGCAGTGCTCACTACCCCACAGAACTTGACCCTTTACTACTACAGCAATATCATAAGAGCTATACTGGTAACTTTTTAGCTGCACCCTATTGGATTCTCACTGTGGAAGGACAGCATATAGGACTACATATTTACTGGTCTTGGCTCAAAAGCAGAGAAACTGTATCTCCCAAGGATGTGCAACACAGAATCTCAGGGTACAGAATGGGCATAGGGGGGCAAAGGACTAAGGTAAAACAAGTCTGTGACACTGGGATTAAATATTAAACGAATACTTATGTGTTACCTCAAGCTTGTTAAAACTAAAATAATTTAGGTCTAGTTTACTTTTTGCCATTTATATTACTTACTTTTGTATTTCATTCAGCATGGACAATGAAACTAGAACAGTCAGTTTCTTTTTCTGGTATTAACCCACTAGCACAGGGTCTTTGTGTTTGAAGTCACAACATGGGAGGGGCATCTTTAAAAACCTGACTACACTGGAAGTATGAAGTAAACAAGTTCCTGTTCATATTCCCCTTTACATGTTCAAATTCCTTATCCATACTTAAGTTTGGGGAAGAGTCTCTCTGTTGAGAGGTGGAAGAATGAATGAAATTGCTTTCAATTAAACTGGAGGAAGCATTCTCTGCTAGAGGTGGCAGTTCCATGTGGTAATTGTATTGAAAAGATTGGAGAAGGGAGTAAGGGAGGATATTAACAAAAAATCATTAAAAAAAGAGTGAGGATTTACAAATAGGCCTGGTATGCACAATCAAATCTGCTCCTTCCCAACTTGGCACTGCACAAAGTTAAACCATTGACTAAGTCAGCAGAGAAAAGAGATAGTGAGCCAATTTTATCTCTCAGCATGCAGATTGTTTTCATAAATTAATGTCTGTTAATACTGCTGGTATATTTTTATAAATCCTTGTGTAGACAATCTGACAAATCTAAAATGGGTTTTGTTCTATAAAAATAGTTTATTACCAATTTCAATTACACCATATTAAATGTCAGTTGAAATAATATATCTAGAGAGACAATCCACATGGAGCAAGTACATAAGAGATTTTTACTTGGGGAGGTTGAGAAAATTAGTGACAGGACCATTGTGGATGTATTACAGATAATTAAAAGTATACTTTTCAGTCTGGTTTGCAAAATTGCTGCATCTGATTTTCTTTAAGATGAGCTTTATTGTAGATTGGGGAGTGACAATTTCAGTAACACAAATTACAGTCAAAACAGTGGTATATAAAATATGAAAGTTAACACCAGCTTCTTAAGCAGTATTTTCAAGACTAAAATTGAGCTACTATACATAGAAAAAGTAACAATCACAAGACAATGACGTAATAATGTCAAGCATCCACAAGGCATAAAGCATTTTACACTTTTAAAATTAAAACGTAGAAGATACAAAAAGCAAGAAAACTCCAGTATCTTAGTAACTATAATACTCAAGGGAACAAGGAGTGGGAGCTCTAGAAATATTTAAGATAGAACTTTTCTTCTTCCCGTTTGACATTTGAGTACAATATCCATACAAAAACAGGCCCCCGACCCTATAAATTGGTGGGTGTGGGGGAGCCCTTATGCTTGCATTGAAGCCCATTGCAGTCAACAGGAGCTCCGTGCTGGTGTTTGCCTACACAGATCAGCTTGCAGAACTGGAGCTTTACAATTTTGCTAAGGCAACATGTGAATAAGTGGCACAAGATAGGGGAACATTAAGAATACTGAAAATAAGAATAAACCCAAAACAAATAAGCCCCCAACTCCTCCTCAGTTTTCATTTGAGTAATCACTTTGAGCTAGTTTATTCTCCTTTCTATTGTGGTAATGTAGGGGGGTGTTTGTGTGAAACCAATGCCACCCATCCCCCATGGCTGTATCAGTGCTCTACCTGGTTTGTGACCCCCAGGGCAAGGCTGATACTCCACTTGTGAGCAAGGGGGAAGAGCGCTGAAAGACCTATCTCCACCCTATCATAAGTGCCATTCCACAGAGCTGGCTAGATACACACAGTGGTGCACCCTACAAAGAGTAGATTACTCCCCACCAGCTCAACAGTGGAGCACAGGAGAAACTGGGCCTCAGTGAGGTATTTTTGATACCCAGTGGTTCCCAGTATTCTCCTTACAATCAAGCTTTCCTTTACTTGTAAAAACAATTCACAGCACATTTTTGAAAAAGTATAAATATTATGGATCATGGAAAGTACCAATGATAACAGGGCAAAACACATCCTGATTTCATCATGAGTTCTGTACCAGAGGGCAAGGCTGAAAACCCCAAACCCTGCAAGCTACCAAGTGGACAGACAACAGACCAAGTTATTTATTATAGGCTCCCAGCAGGGGGTTGGGAGAGAGCGGGGACAACCTGAACTGTCACACGAGCCACATGGGCACAAGAGCCCTTCGGGTGTTGAGAGGGAATAAATCACCCCCTTTAACGGGTCACGTGCTCTTCGCCGCCGTGTCCTGCCAACAAAGCCACGTATCGCTGTCCGCAGGGAGAGTCCCCCCAGCCCCTCCCTCCCCACAGGGAGCTCCTGTCAGTCGCCACCTCGCCTGCACCCCCCAAGTCCTCCGCCCCCGCGGGGAGAGGCACAGTGAAGGGCAGCTCAGCACCTCCCGCCCCGCCCCCGGAGCCAAAGGTTTAGAGTGAGTGACTAGCCGCCCGGCCCGGCGCTCTGGCCCTGCACAAAACCCGGCCCGGCTGCCGGCCCTGCCCGGGAGCGGCTCCTGGGCGAGCGGGTCCCCGTTGTCGCTAGGCCAGAGGCAGCCGCTGCCCCCCTCTCACCTGCGCCTAAGGGAAGCTGCGGGGGCCGTGTCCCGCCGTGTGTCCGTCCGCGTCGCGCTCTCCAGCCGCGGCTCAGCCCCGTCCCCCCTGCGGCTACTCCATGGCGACCGAACCAGCGCCCGGGCCACCAGCCCCCCCCGCCCGCGCTGCCTCACTTCCGCCACGGGGCCAGGGTGGGACCGGAAGTGACGGTGTGGGAGGCGGGACAGGAAGGTGGCTGGCGATGGCGGCGCATTTGACTCCGCGGTTCAGGAGGGTTCACAGCCAGAGCGAGCTGGGCGCGCGGCGGCGGCGCGGAGGTGAGTGTGCCCCGGCCTGGAGCTGGCCGGCTTCCCGCCGCCGCCTGAGGGGAGCCCGGGTTGCCAGTGCCTGTGGGCCCTGGGGAGGGTGTTGTGTGCCCCGGGCCGGGGCTCCCCCTGCGAACGGGCCGGTCGGTCTGGCCCCGCCCCGCAGCGGGCGGTTTAAAGCCGGTTGGGTTTTGCTGTTATCGCCCAGCCCCGGGTCGCGTCCCCGACTAGGGTTGCCAACGTTCTAGTTCCCAACCGAACATCCCAGCCCCGCCCCTTCCCCGAGACCCCGCCCACTACATTCCCCCTCCCCGGTGGCTCGCTCTTCCCCACTCTCACTGGGCTGGGGCAGGGATGAGGGGGTTGGGGTGCAGAAGGGGGCTCTGGGCTTGGGGGTGCTCAGGGCTGTAGCGTGGGCTTACCTTAGGTGGCTCCCAGTCAGTGCTGCAGCGGAGGGGCTAAGGTGGGCTGCCTGCCTGTCCTGGCACCACACTGCACAAGAAGTAGGCAGCAGGTCTGGGTCCTGGGCGGGGGATCAGGAGACTCCATGCATTGCTCTCACCTGCGGGCACCAGCTCCCATTGGCCAGGAATCTCCCGGCCAATGGGAGGCGGAGCCAGAGCTTGGGGCTGGGGCAACATGCAGAGCCCCATGGTCCCCCTCCCTAGGAGTCGGACCTGCTGGCCGCTTCTGGGACGCAGCACGGAGCCAGGACAAGTAAGGACTAGCCTGCCTTAGCGCCACAGTACCGCCGACCGGCCTTTTAACAGCCTGGTCGGCAGTGCTGACCCGAGCCGCCAGGGTTCCCTTTCAGCTGGGTGTTCCAGTCGAAAACCAGCCACCTGGTCACCCTATCCCCGGCCCACCCTCTGAGAGCCTGGACAGCAGAGCATGCCGGGGGGGGCACCTTGGGGGGGCTGCACCTTTGGGTGTGCACGGGGGGGTGTCTGAGCGCTGCTCAAGAAAAAGTGCAGGGAGATTCTGTGAGTCCTGGTCTTGGTCAGGCCTTTTGGTCTCGCTGGGATAAGGAGAGACTCTCAGCAATGGGGTGGGGGAGGAGGGAGGTGAAGGCCGTGTCTTTGGAACTGCCCTCCTGGGGCAAGGGTATTAGAACTAGGGATGCTGGAGGTGCGGCAGCACCCCCTGGTTTGAAGTGGTAATAACAACCAAATACATGGTTTCCACTTTCAGCACCCCTGTCCTGGGGGAAATAATGTACCCCTTTCTGAGCTCCCTTTGTAACGCTGGGTGCAGCTGCCTGCTCTTGCAATGTCAGTACCTATAGAGGTATTTTGATACTGTCATAGTAGGTGCTGGAACTAGGGGTGCTGTTGCACCCCCTGGTTTGAAGTGGTTTCCATCATATACAGGGTTTACAGTTTGGTTAAGTATCGGGGGTAGCCGTGTTAGTCTGTATCTACAAAAACAACAAGGAGTTTGGTGGCACCTTAAAGATTAACAGATTTATTTGGGCATAAGCTTTCGTGGGTAAAAACCTCACTTCTTCGCATCCAAAGAAGTGAGGTTTTTACCCATGAAAGCTTATGCCCAAATAAATCTGTTAGTCTTTAAGGTGCCACCAGACTCCTTGTTGTTTTTGTAGTTTGGTTAAATGGCTCTCAGCACCCCCACTATAAAAATTGTTCCAGAACCCCTGGATACTGTAGGGTATAAAGGGGTAAGATAGTTTAAGAAGAAAAATATTTTTGTAGGCCATATAAGGTGGCTCTGTTAGCAGTTGTGGAAAGGTCTTGAAAGAGTTCATTGCTAATATATGCCTAACCAAGTTGGAGCCAACCAACATGTGTCTAAGCATCCATGGATTTAGTTCTTTCTTGAGTATCTTGATCAAATACTTACGAATGTTTGTTACTATTTGCATGTAGTCATTGCTTATGATTTAGGCTTTTACACATTTAGAGCAATTGTATACCTCCCCTTGAGCTTTTAGATTTAATAAAGGAATTTATGGTTAAACTAGTATCTGATGGTGCACTGTCTTACTTTTATCTAGAATAATAATTCCGGCAGATACATTGAGATTGTTTGGGTAAAATGAAAAGAAATGGATTTTTTTTTATTTAGCATGTTCTTGTTTTCCTTTCCTGGTGTAAGCTTGCCTGCGTATGACCTAGTGTCAAATCACTGCAGGAATTAGTTTGCTATTTTGCTACCATTTATCTCTGGCTGTGCTTTGAAAAGTTAAATTTCACTTCTGGAGAATGCAGCCAACGCACTTTCAATTTTGAAAAGGAAAATGTAAAAATAATACACTTAAATGTTACAGTAAGTGTTTACAGTATGCAAACGTAAATAATGTTTTAGTAACATGAATGCTTAAATATTTTTGCAGGAAGCAGTGGTCCTTTTCAAGCAACTCGGTTATGGAATGGTATTATTCATGCTCTTCAAAGCCAGGTGGAAATAAAAAGAAGACGACAACATCTAAGGACGTACAGAAACTGTTTTACTGGCTCCAATGCTGTTGATGTGGTGCTGAGCTATCTTATGCACAGTATGTACCTAAGTAGTAATGATCTTTCTCGACTGAAGGGAGTCCGTCTATGCCAGGCTCTGATGGATCACAAGGTTTTTGAACCAGTTGGACCAAAACTATTCAAGAATGAGAGAGAGCTAGAGTTTGAAGACACAAGTAATAGTCTTTATAGATTTCTGGACAGCCATCTTTCTCCTCTTTTACTGAAACAGAAAGGATATGTTGAGAAGTTGTCCCCTGAGGAAATACTTGAACTTAAGACGAAAAAACTTTCACGGTTAGTAATGCAGATGTACACATTTAAAGATGCCGTCTTACACAATCACGAATGAGAAGAGGTGCTCCATGAGACACTCTGTTTAGATGTCATCCATGCTATGAAAAAATCTGAGATGCAATTCAAAGGCAAGATATTAATTATGGAAGAATAAAAAACATTTCTTGATTGTTACCTTGTGAAAATACTAGGTGACTAAAATATTTACATTAGGACTAGAAAGACCCACTTGTTCAGACCCAGATTGGGGGAGCTGTGATTTTTAGGGACCTAAAAATATAAATACTAATTCCAATTTTTATTTTTAATTATGTTTTTAGTGCTTTGTTTTCCAAAGAGATCCTTGAATGTGAATACACCAATTGCTAGTGCCAAACATTCTCTGATGCTTTTTTGTTTCCTAATAAGTTATTAACAATCTCCTCTATAGCCACCCTTGCAATAGACCTTTGAGACCTGTGAAACGTGCTGCGACAAGTTCTTTGACACTGGGGAAACACTACACTTAATTCACAATGATACCACTGAGGATTTTACTGGTAATACTAGAGTCACTTCAAGCTCCCACCCTGCCAACTGCCTACTTCAGTCTTTTCTTCTGAGCAGCCAATATGCCTTCTGGTAGTGGGGCAGTTCAGTAATGCAGAAGGGAGTTGGGGTAGTTGGCTAAGCATGTGACCTGGACTCTTGTGTTCTGACACAGGCTCTAACACTGACCTCTGGCTTTAGTCAAATTACAGCCTCTCTTCCTCAGTTTCCGCACTTGAAATGTTAGTTGTTAATGTTCACAATGTGTTGTGATTATTTATATTTATAAAGCATTATGTAGGCAGTAATATTCACCAGGATTCTCCTGCAGCCCCGAGACGCCCATCCCATATACAAAATAATCCCTTGGAAGTGTTTTAAAAAAAATTAAAAAGTTCACACTGATGCATAGGCTCCAGCACAAGCAGTTGGACTCCTCCCTCTCTTCCAGCAGCCACAAGAGAGCATGGAAAGGGAGTCAGCTTAACTATCCAGAGGCTAATAAAAATGCCCACAAGCAGGATTCAAAGTAGAGCTTGTCAGGAACTTCTTCATCAAGTGTTTTTCATTCAAAAATGCTGAATGGTCAAAACCCAAACTCTTTGCAGAAATGTATTAGTTTTGACTAATTTTCACTAGGAAAGTATTTCAGGTCCAGGGTGGAATGTCTAGAGAGAGACCTAAGAATAGCCAGTAGTCCAGTGGTTAGGGTACAAGCAGGTACAGGTCCCTATTCTGCCTGAGTCAGACAGGGACTTGACCCTGTGTCTCCCACATCCCAGGGGAGTACCCTAACACTAGACTGTTGGCTATGCTGGGTTGGATTTCTGTGTGTCTGATTTTTTTTACCAGAAATTCTATCCTGGAGAAGTAGTTTTGTCAGAACCAATAGAGGAGTTTTAAAAGGGGTGTACTGTCTGATTTGGCACAGGGATTTGAACTTTAGTCTCCTGCATTTCAAGTTAGTATCCTAACTACTGGGCTATTGGCTATTCTGAAGGTAGGGGCAGGGGTATGTCTGCATGTGTGTGCCTTGCTCTCATTGTTTCATAAAAAACTTGGAAAGGCCTTGGTTTCAGTCTGCATCAGAACAGAAACAAATGTCAGAATTTTGCACAAAATGGAATTCTTGTTTTCCAGCCTGTTCTAATCCAGACAGAGCACCGTTGGCTTTTCCTTGTGCTCCTCCGTCTGTCTGTATCCATCTGTTGTCTCTTGTCTTATACTTAGATAATCCCTGTCCCAAAAAGCTTAGAATCTGTGTTCTGTGTTTGTACTGTGCCTAACAAAATGAGCACCTAAGTGCTATAATAATACAAATAATAATTGCCGTTTATCAATGCTTTTTTCATAACAGAGCAAAATGTGAAACAATTTCAAATCCCTTAGCACTAGAAGCTGCTGATAAAAGGATAGAGGAACTTCTACAAACTATAAATGTACATCCATCTTTACCTTTAAAGAACATAGTTGATGAACCAGTCTGTCTACTTTCAAAAAAAGGTGATTATATTTTATTTTATAAATATAATATATTTTGTGCTATTTAATATTACCACAAGGTATTTATGAACATTAAACTATAATTCGTTTATTGAAACAAGCAATGAATAATAGATGTTTTGAAAATTAGAAATATACCCTTTTCCAGCCTCTTAGAAAGAGTACTGGCACATCTTGCAGAAATATCATTTCCTGGCATTATTATTTGAATTTTTTGTATCTTGCTACTTTTGTAGTTGAAACAAATCTTTTAAGTAGTGCCCAGGATGTTGCAGAAAGTGACTCTTGCCCCGAAACCAAGATTTTAAAAATGACTTGCACAGAATTCAGGGCTCGATCCTCGAGCCCTTATTCACACAGTCCTATTGAAATCACTGTAGCTATTTATGTAACTAGATTACTTCCATAAGAATTTCAGGATTGGGCCCTAGTTTAATAAATTACAAAAGCTTTAAACATAGTTTTTGTTTGCTTTAAATTAGAAACATTTAAAATCCATATCACAAAGGCCCATCAAAGTTCTTGCTATATTAGGAAATAACAAATTACGATAACACCAACTAGATGTTTGTGAAACTCAACTATTCATTTAAAAAAGCAGATACTAACCTACGTTTATCTGAAGCAACTATAACCACACAATGCATGGAGTCAACAAAAGTTATCCCTACCAAGTAGATAGCTTTAGTGTGTTACACAATGTAATCTAGAAATGTTTTCCATTGAGGTCAAATGTTTTTGCTCTTCTTTATGTTTGAACCAGGCTTTCCCTGGTGAATGTGCTTATGCCCAGTCTTTTTCCAGGTTGTGCTTATTTGATCTCTGAGGTTGTAGCCTAGAACATAAAGGAACACTGCCAACCAGAACTTTTTAATTGACTAATTTGAAAATCAACATCCTTTCAATAACAAGTATTGATGCATTTTGAAAAAAAATTCCCCCCCCCCACCCCCCCCCACTCCCACTTTTCTGATCAACCTGCTGTTTCTGAAGGATCTTCCATGGCGAATAATGGACAAACTTGAGAGAGACAACAAAAAATGTGGTCAGGAGCTGTCCTCGCAACTTCCTGCAATTGATGCTTGTCAAGCCACTTCCCTTTCAGTGTCCTTGAAGTTAGCAGTAAGCAACTGTCCTCGCGTGTTCCTAACATGAAGGAAACTGAGGATCCCTGCTGATTCTCAGTTTCCTCCATGTTAGGAACACTCGAGGACAGGGGAATCCAGGCCAGTGGATTCCCACAGCTCCTCCCAGACTCAGTGATTCCTATCTCCTGCCTGGACTGCTATTTCCCTCTTGGCCCCAGGTTGTTCCTACCTCTGAGGAGAGGGTTACAGACAGAGGATGCTGCTATTTTCCTGGTCCTGCTCCTGTGTAGGTGATCCTCACTATTTCCCAGCCTAAATCCAGACAGAGGGTTTTGTTGGGGAATTTCCTCTGGCTCCTATTCCTACTGTCTCCAGTCTTGGGCGCAAGGGATAAGGTGGGTGCTGTCACTTCCTTCTCCCTGGTCCAGCTGAGGGACCATGTACTCCTGAATCCTGTTGTGTAGTCTGGCTGTGAAAGAGGCTTTCCTGGCCTCCCTGCCTGGCTCCCAGCCCCATCCAGAAGTCTTGGGATTGAGGGGAGACTCACTCTCCTAGTCCCTTCTGCCCTAACAAATGTTGCCTCCATGCACATATCCCAGGCTTCTTTGTGCAGGAGTCCAGGAAGAAAGAGCCCAAGTCACACTCCTAAAGCCACACACCAGCAGTTCTTGCAGAGCCTGGGGAAGAACATTCATGTGAACTCCCCTCAAAAGCATACAAGACTACAGTGCACTATCATCAAAACGGTGAAACTGATTCTATGCAGAGTAGTCCTGCACACAGCAATGAAACTGAAAAAAACTAAAAAGAATATTCTCTCTAAGCACCTTAGGGGCTTATAAAATAGCCTATATCAAATTTTCAGATGGATATATGATTTGCAGGCTTACATTGCCCTTCTTAAAAACACAATCTGTTGGGAGATTTTTTTGGTTATAAGGGTCTTTCCTTTTTTTAATGTATTTATTCTCATGTATTTTGTTACTGTATATATTAAATGTTATTAGAGCAGGTAGTTATAAGAAGTAATAACTTAGAAACAAAAATATTTAAAAGCTTTTTGTCCAGTTTCCTTAAGACACTCTCCCCCTAAAAAACAAAATAACATAATTTACATCTAATGAATATATTGTATATGTAAGATGGGCTGATTTTATTTCAAATCAATCAAAATTCCTCTTTTTGATATTTACATATATGCTACGTGTACCTACTCTTGTTCCCAGTAACCTTGACTTCTGTGTTTTTGTTTGTTTTTCCATCTTCCTGTTTGTACTCCCAGTTATAGATGATGTCTGGAAACAACAGACTCTGTTACGGCTACTGCAGTTAATTGATCTTCCAGTCCTGGAAAATATTTTGGAGTTTCCAGATAAGAGGAAAAATGATCATCTTGGCAAAGAGGAAGATCTGATTATCTCAAATACTTTCCTTGACAGAGAGGTCACGTGCAGCCTAAATTTGCCCGAGTTAGTTATAAAAATATATATTTTATAAAAACTTGAATAATTTAGCATTTCACTGTTTGATCACACATTAATTTCACTCTGGCTTTCAAGACTTCTACTCTACATGGGCAGGGTAGGCTTTGTGGGTGAGGCAATACCTTTAGATTGGAATAGGATGAGCATGGATTTCTCTCTACTGCCTTTCAGAAGTAGCAAGGGAATTCACTGAGACTGCAGCTCTGAGAGCACTCAGAAGCTAACAGGTGTTTAAATAAGCAGAAATTACATTTTTAACTTGAGAGGATGGGTGAACACTTCCCTCTCTTCTAGACTGGATATTTCACAGCTAAATGCTTCTTTCATATACAAATATGGGGAGTGAATTATGTGAATTTTGGTCTTATTTTAGGGCTTTCATAACTGAGGTATCCCAAAGGGGTTTATACAGTCCTTTTCTTGGTGGTTTTAAGTGGCGATGCAGTGAGTGTGTAAAGCAAATGGAGCAGCCATTGTTACAGATAGCAAGGGAAAGCCCCTGCTGTGACAAAAGGGTCATTGTACCACAGAAAGAAAGATGTGGCAATTTGGTGCCAGCCTGTTTGCCTTTCCAAACCTTCCAGTATCTCTAAACTATTCCTGTTGATCACATCTGGGTTGATGTCATGTTTTACCATATGGCAGTACAGCTAAAGACAAGTTTCATTTTGTAACATGGAATGGTGTGTTGACTTGCAGCCTCTTGCATGTGGGTAGCCTGAGGTCAACTCATAAGAGGAATTACTCTGCCATTATGCTAGCATTTATCCTGAGCCATGTTTTAAAAAGTTAGTGTGGTTTCACTTCAGGAGAATTCATCCAATTTTTGATAAATTTTGGTCAGTCTGTGTACCCGCAAAAAAGCATCTGCATTACAATAGTCTGTTCACATGGAAAATGTTTGAGAATCAAAGCAAAATACATTGAGAGTTAGTTAACCAGTGAAGCTCCAGTTGCTGCTAATTTCTAACTGGTATAGCTGTTCGAATTAGTTTTAGGTGGTTGAAGGTGGCCTGAATTGATTCTAAGAAACACCTCTGGTCTTGAAGCCAGTTTTGTAAAAATGTGTGTCTTCAACCATCTAAAACTCATTAAAGCTGTAGCATAGATCCAGTTTTAAAATCAAATTAAGCTGAGCTATTTTTCTCTTTCAGCAACAGTTCCATTTGAGAACTCATGGTATATTCAAACAATTGATTATAGTTCCAGTATCGATATCCCTGAACCCACTAACCCAGGGTATTTTCCAGAGTCATACTGCAATGAAGTGGTGTCTCAGGATATTAGAGAGAATGGACTGAAATCAGGATCTCAGCTGAACCTTTTCAATTCTGTGGCTCTCTGCGTTGCATGCTTTCTGGCAGCCAACCGTGAGGTTTACTTTATGCCTGGAAAAAATTACTGGTATTCCCTTTGCTTATGCTGCCATGTGGGATGTGTGTACCCACACTTGGCCGTGAACCATCTAGAATGGGTTCTCAAACTTCAGTGCACGGTGACCCCCTTCTAACAACAAAAATTACTACACGACCCCAGGAGGGGGGACTGAAGCCAGAGCCCAAGGGCTTCAGCCCCAGGCAGTGGGGCTTGGGCTTCAGCTCTGGGCCCCAGAAAGTCTAAGCCAGCCCTGGCGACCCCATTAAAATGGGGTCGCGACCCACTTTGGGATCCCAACCCACAGTTTGAGAACTGCTGATCTAGAAGAATATTTCCTCTTGGAGCCATAAATGTCCCCTTGTGGGACCTAACATTACAAGAAGAGAGTTGCTACCATTCTTACAACATGAAGTGGTGTTGTAGCTGTGTTAGTACCAGGGTATTAAAGAGACAAGGTGGGTGAGGTAATATCTCTTATTTGACCAACTTCTTTTGGTGAGAGAGAGTATTTTGAGCTTACATAGAGCTCTTCAGTTCTGGGCTGCAGAAGAGCTCTGTGTAAGCTCAAAAGCTTGTCTCACCAACAGAAGTTGGTCCAATAAGAGAGATTACCTCGTCTTGTGAGGTAACTCCCTTCTCTCCATGTGTCATTATATAATGCCTGCATCTGTAATTTTCACTCCATGCATCAGAAGAAGTGGTTTTTTACCCACGAAAGCTTATGCCCAAATAAATCTGTTAGTCTTTAAGGTGCCACCGGACTCCTTGTTGTTTTTGTGGATACAGACTAACACGGCTACCCCTTGATACCTCACCCACCTTATCTCTCCTTTTGCCCCAGGCAGTTGACAGCGTTGGATCCATCTGTGTGCAGTGCCTTTGCCTGCAGTGGCAATCTTTAGTGCTTATTTCTTGTTCTTTCCTAGTTAGTTGTTGGCTTCCTTTCATTTGTCAGGATTTTAAGTGTTTGTTTTTTGTTTTTAAATTGAATGTCTAGTTTCTTTGCTCCTTTAAAGTTTCAGCCCCCGTGTTTGGTTGTGTAGCTGGATATCTATTTTTCCCTTGTGACGGCTGAAACTGATAAGGCAGGACTGTACTGTTACAACTTGCATTTCTGAAGTGTTTGTGACAGACCGCACCATTGTGGCTTCCTTTGTCTGAAGGAAGGCAAACCTCAGCCATATTGTTGTAGTCTAGGGAGACGAGAGTTAGTTGTTAATTGCAGCAGTAGTTCAGTGGACTTATAGCTATAGCGTCCAACTACATTCTTTAATTGCTTATTAAGTAAGTTGTATGATGCTGCTGTTCAAACATGCATGTAGTTGGAGGTGTCTGGTTAATTCTTTCTGAATTTTAGTTTAAATAAAGTGTTTTGCCTAGCATTAAATGTAAGTACTAAAACGAACATTCTCTCCCCAGGCTTGACAAATGGCTTTGTGCAGCAATTGAATGCTTGGAGTATTTTCCAGACCAGCTAATAGTGATGGTTGGTCAGCAGTTACTTCAAATCAGTAACGAACCAAGTCACTTGAATATGCACAAGAAGATACTTTTTGATGTGATAGCAAAATATTATAATCAAGTGAGAGACCCCCTTTTCAACAATCATGATCTTGATATTCATTCAGGAATTGTTGAACTTATAGGTAAGTGCATAATCTTTATTTACACATTAAGGAAATTAAAACTGTTTTATTAACTTAATACTAATACAGACATGAGTAGAATCACCTTATGATACAGTTTCCCTGTCAACCAAAAGAGGGATTCATAGCTTATGGACTCACATTTCCATTAATAGCGAATAAACTAACAAGGTAAGGGACCAGAAAAGTTCTCTTAGTTCTAAGATTCTATTCAGGCTATGATAAGTTCTTCCTGATTCTGCAACCTTTGTGGCAAACTAAATTTTCCCAAAACAAAATAACAGCAAGGGTTACCTTAAACTTGGATTTAAATGAAACTCTAGCATGAGTGTGTCTTTTCTGTACACCTTAGGTCTTGCAGAATATATGGAATGTTACCTGAATGCTCAGTTTTCAGAGATGCTTCACAGAGCTTAGTGCCACAGGAGCTCAGTGATGATACTGAAGACATTGAGCATGTTCCTGCCTAGGACTGACACTTGGCAAAGAGACCCTTTTTAATTAAAATAAATAAAGAGAGCATAAAAAGGAATCTGTGGTAAGACTACAGTAAATTCCCAACCCATGATTACTAATTTGAAATCATTGGTTTACTTAAAAAGGAATTCTACCCTACCATACTTTCACATAAAGGGAGGTGGGGGAAAGGCTCATGACATAAATCACTGAAAGAACTCTATGCTTTCCATGCTGTAGCTCCCTCATTATTCCCCATTTATTTAAAATCTCTTCTTAAGCTGAACAGTATGTTCTATGAACATGCCACGCTAATTTGTGCCAGTCCTGTGTCACTTCCTAAACTTTAGTCAGCTAAAATCTGCCTGGGGAACAGTTTCTAATGTAGGCCCAGCTTAGTTTCAACTTCATTTTGGACAGGTGGTGGTTCTAACTTCATAATTAAACAGAGGTCCACTTCTAAATATATTAAGCATTCCACAGTTCTTTAGGTTTGATTGTCTCCTGCTGCTCATCAGTCTACACAAGAGGCACAGCTCATACATACATTAGGAGGAGATTATACTTATTTTACCACTGGTTGCAAAGTGCAGGCTATAGAGTTGCCTGTATATTAATCTTTATTCTGCTGGGTGATGCTTTTGAACAAAGGGCCCTGTGCTGTAACTTCAGTAGGACTGCAGGACCTGGCCTAATTTAGTTGTTGGCTATTCCAGATGGCAAATTTGGTGTGGAACTGGGGAGGGATTGTTACATGCTCACACAATCACTGTTGCAGCCAATTGAACACAATCTACTCTTGCTGTGTGTGTGTACTGCAGATGCTGAAACTTGTATCTTCATGAACCCACAGCCAGCTTGATTTCAAAAAATTTTTGCACTGTCAATAGAAAGCTGAAATCTTTTTTTTTTTTTTTTTTTTAAATGAAACTATAACAAACACAAATAAATCAACCCCACCCCTCCCCACCACTACCACTATTACCCCTAAAATAAAAAGGGCACCATGGTTCGTGTGTGCATGCAGGTGCAAGTAGTCAAGTGCGTCAGACTTTAAGACCATAGACTTTAATAACACATGTCCTTTACTGCTTTTAACACACACACACACACACACACACACACACACACACACTCCTTTCACTTTCCTACAACTCACTATCCCAATAAAGCTTTTAAGCTTTTACTACCGTGTTTTTTTACAACCCCTCCTGATCTGTGATTAAACCAGCTGGAAACTGTCCTTTATCAGTTATCTAATCTGTCAACTTCTCCATATTTTCCTTCACCTTGGTCTTCTGATGCTCTTCTCTTTTCTACATTTGCTCACTCTCTTCTTTTGGCTTTCTGCTCTCATTCAAACTTTCTTCTTTTCCAAGTCTCAGTGCGCTTACATATCAATTCTAGTTGCTTTTATTCTTTCAAAGAAAATAACTAGGCCAGTCTCCTTGTAATTATAGTTTGTATTTTGCTAGACATAATTATCTGGACCAGTGACTAGAGCAGAGGACTGGGAATCAGAGATTGGTGGCTCTGCTGCTGACCTGCTGTGACTTTAATCTCTCTTCCAGTTTCCCCCTCTGTTAAATGGGGATAAAGATACTTACCTTTGTAAATGCTTTGAGATCTACAGATGAAGAATGCTATATAAGAGTTTGATTCCTGCCTTGTCCCTTTACCACACAAAAGATGTAGCTTGGTGGTTTAAAAAGCTCATCAGCAATGGGAATGGTGCGACAGTGAGGCACACTGGTCATATTGCATCACATCATATAAAGGAGCAGTTAAGGATTCAGTCAAAGGTAGGGAAACACAAACTGTATGCAATGGTAAAATGGAGGTTCTGCATCTGGTACATTTAAGACTTCATGATATCCAGAGGATGTTATTTTAAAAATATGTTACTTGCCTAGCTCTAAGACAAAGGCTATATGGTTTTAAGCCTAGAATCAGAAATTGACTCCTATTTAAATACATTTTCTTGATTCTGTTCAAACCAGTAGACTGCACTATATACAATATTTCACTAACATTGCAGAGAATGGAAAAACCGCACAAGCCCTGGAGGCATCGCAGCTTTACTTAAGATTACTAGTGCCGAACATCCGAGAAGAACTGCGTAGGCTACTGATGTTTATGGCTGTTGCGTCAGAACCTGAGGGCTACAAGTTACAAAAACAAGTAAGTATTGCATTGAAACGTAGTGTATAAATTATCACTCCCCCATAGTAACATTAATAGATTTATTTTTTTAACAGCCATAGAAACTGACCCGTTACAACATTTCAATCTGATGCTTTTAAAACTAACTGAAATGGATTTTTTTCAGTGTAGATTTTGTCACCTGTTTATAACGATCATTTAGCTAACACCTAGAATAACTGCAAGCAAATCTAATCCAGGTCATTATTCTTCTGTTTTATAGTTTGATAATAGATCAATGATCATCAAGAGTTTTACCAAGGCCATTTTACAAAATAAAGGATTGTCAAAAACACAGACTGAACAGCTAATCCAGTTACTGATGAAGAATCATACTGAACTCTTCAAGGTATTTCCTTCTCATCTGACACACTTTGACCTTGTCATTTTAGATATTAATTGTCAAAAAGCAGCTTTATATGAATGTGCTTTTTTGTATATGTCATGGCAACCTGTAAAAGCTACACAGTCTTGTAGGACCAGAAAGTGTTCCAGACTAATTCAGTTTTTCTGGACTACAGGGGAAATCTTCTGAAATCATTGGCCTCTCTACTTCCATTGTCCCCACCCACAAATTCTCAGGGTCATTGTAGCACTTCTCTCTCTAGCAAAGCAGTGTTGGAAACAGCTCATTGCAGAAGCCAGCTAATGTACTTTGAGTGCTAACTAGAGGGAGTCATTCAAAGGTGAAATTCTGTAGAGGCTGAGTACACACTGGCAGCGTCTCTCAGCCCCAGGAATTAACTTAGTATTTTAAAATCTTTTGGCAGTTAATATAAACCCAGTAGGTAAATCAAATGTTTCCCATTCGTCAATGATAAATCCATTATGAATAAGCAGAAATACTTGTATAGCTTTTTCAGTTACATTCAACTATCTCTTGCATATGAAAAGATGTACTTTTTCTAGCTATTTAATTTAAGTTTTTAGCTAACGCACATTAAAACTACAGTATTTGTTTTAGTTATTTTTCCAGTTGGAAAACTAATTAAAAAAGACAAGTAGGAAAATGTCTGGTAGTTCCAACTCCATCTCCGCTGCCTGAAAATGGTGAAAATCAAATGGTAAATATTCTCTGGATAGTGTATATTGGAAAAAAAATCCTCATATTAAACCAACCCCCTGTCTGAGGCACACAAAAATATTCATGTCCCTTTTTATTTCGTATCAGCTGGGGTCAGAAATGGAAGCATTAAAATAGCATAGGAAAAGCTGCTATTGCACTATTTCTGGTTCAGTTGAAATGATCAAGTATTAGAAATAGGGAAAGACTGTCTGTTTCTCAGGTAAATAATTAGATAAACATCAGAGGTTTGGGATGTTTACTAGAACTTTCAAACCTTGTGAGTTTTGCCAGAAGGGCACAAGCAAGGAATCTATTCCCCTTGAAGGGAAATGCATGTGGATGATGATCAGTACTTATCTCCCAAACCCTCTTTTCTTCCCCCATACATATAGAATCACTTACTTTGGCACATCCCTTGCTTTTCTAGAACGCTGCAATTATGCGAACTTGGACTCCAGTTCTGCAAAGAGCTGCACACAGATGGACCTCTGCACCCACAAAAAGCCCTTTTAAAGTCAAATGGGCCTGCCCCCATACAATTCACTGAAGTATTGCGGCCTTAAGCAGCTGACTCAATGCAATCTTGAAATGTTGCCAAACTGAATTAGTCTATTTTAAAAAAAATGAACCTTTTTTAGTGTAAGGTTATGTAGAGAGAGAGGTTGAAGCTACTTTTCCATGATAAGCTGAGTTAGAAACCACACTTCTCAAGCTTTCGCCAAAAAGAACCAACTTGCTTGTAATTTCTCTTGCAGGATCTTAGCCCAGGATAGAATATTTCTGGATACCGTGGGAGAAATTTAAAAAAGCTGCTTGGGAGATAAAATGTGTTTCAGTTCTGGGATACTTTCCAGATATTTATTTGGTTTGTCATACCTCCAGAATGGTTTGGCTTTGAAACTTCACCTTTGATTTATTATCTTGGCCTGTGTGTGTTTTGGGGGGGAAGGGGATTAGCTAGTTTAGACATTTCCACATTTCTTAAAGCTACTGAAGCCTAATACAGATGTCCAGAATGGAAGTGTGACACTAGCAGATAGGGTTGCTCTGACGTGACAGTTCCCATCCAGCTTGCTATCTCTAAGGATCCTTGTCACCCGACATTTAAATCTTTAATCAAGAAAGATTTTTAGTTTCTTTAACTTAAGTTGTAGATAAGACTGAGCAGATGAACTTTAAGAACAGCTTTCCTTAAAAGAATCTTGCAGTTTTATAATCAGTCTGAACTTTTGACAGTCTGGAAATATAAAGTTAATAGTATCTGAACAAAAAAAAAGTCACCCAAACAATTTGTATTTTTATCACCACCCCTAAAACAACCAGAAATGTAATTAGTGCAATATAGGCTCACTTATTAATGATTCCAACTAACAAGTCATCTTACTAGGAATCCAAACTCTGAAATTGCTGTTAATTTACAGTTTAGACCCTGATCCTGAAAACATTTTATGCACATGCTTAACTTTATTATAAAGAGTAGACCTCTTGAAGCCAGTGAGATAGTGAAGTTAAGCATATGAATGTTTGCAGGATCAGAGCCTAAGGTTTCATTTAAAACAAAACTACACTGGTCCTTCTGTCACTAATTTTCATGACCTTTACTTTGTTTAAAAGTACAGTAGAACCTCAGAGTTATGAACCACCTCGGGAATGGAGGTTGGTTGTAACTTTGAACAAAATGTTATGGTTGTTCTTTCAAAAGTTTACAGCTGTAAATTGACTAAATAGAGCTTTGAAACTTTTCTATGCAGAAGAAAAATACTGCTTTTAACCATCTTAATTTAAATGAAACAAGCACAGTGTCCTTGCCTTGTAAAATCTTTAAAACTTTCCCTTTATTTTTTAGTAGTTTAACACAGGACTATGCTGTATAGCAGGGGTTCTCAACCTTTCTTTCTGAGGCCCCACAACATGCTATAAAAACTCCACAGCCCACCTGTGCCACAACAACTGATTTTCTGCATATAAAAGCCAGGGCCAGCGTTAGGGGGTAGCAAGCAGGGCAATTGCCAGGGGCCCCTGCAAAGCTCAGGCTTTGGCTTCAGTCCCGGGTGGCAGGGCTCAGAGCCCCAGGCTTCAGCCCCATGTGGTGAGGCTTTGGCTTTCTGCCCTGGACCCCAGGGAGTCTAACACTGGCCCTGCTCGAAGGACCCCCTGAAACCTGCTCATGGCCTCTCATGGGGCCCTGGTCAAGAACCACTGCTGTACAGCGTTTGCTTTTTTTGTCTCTGCTGCCTGATTGTGTACTTCCGGTTCCAAATGAGGTATGTGGGGTTGACCGGTCAGTTCATAACTCTGAGGTTCTATTGTACATTACTACTTTTTGAATTAAAAAACCCTAACAATTTACTTTGGGTTTTTAAAACATATGTACCAGGAGTGCCCATTTACATACTCAACTTTAACTCCATCTTTAAAGGGTTTTGCCTATTGTGTAAGTATGCATTTTATAATGAACTGTATAAACACCAACTAAATATCTGAAAATTCTGTTCTTGCGCAGACCCCTTTAATTCTGTTGGAACTAATCAGCAAGAAACTTACGAGCTTGCTGGAAGGACAAGATCCTGATGCCAGTTCAGGTAGAAAGTCTGATATTGTGCATTTTTATATGAGTAGTTGCATGCAAATGAGTTTAATGCACTACATATCAAATTATTGTGAAATGCTTTTCCTGATTGCCTCATCCTCTCTGTTATACTGATAGTAGCACTTTAAGTGGTTTAATTCATTAACTTATTTAACCCACCTAAAACAAAGCATAAATTAAATGGAGACCGAGGCCATATTCTATCTAACTTCTCTTCAGTCCTGTAATTGATTATGTAATTTCCTTCACAAAGTTAAATTCAGAAAATAGTGTAAAATATGATTTGGCTAAAGACACAAACTATTATTTTGGTAGAATTTTTTGTTCTCTTTTCTACTTAGCATACATTATTAAAAGGGAAAATTACTTGCCTGTAATTTGGTTTCTCTGAAGATTTCATTTGGCTGTGTTCCTGTTGTGCTTCCACCATGAGGCATGCACAAATTACCCTAGCACTCAAAGGTTTTGGGGGTTTTGCTGCACCAGTAGATGTCTCATGCAAAGACCAGTCAATTCCTTTTTGCTTGCAAGAACATTGTCCTTCAATTCCTTGATGAGCAGGAAGCAAAGAGTTCCTTAATTCCTAAGCATAATTTAGGCTAGAGTATGTATGAAAAAAATATTTTAATCAATATTTGTCTGGGAATAGATTTTTTTTTTTTTTTTTTCCAGTTAAGTCCTTTGCTTCTGGCCCTGCTTCTAAAAATGTCCTCCTCCAGAATTGTCCTTTAACCACTTTGCTATTTCTATCATCTGGTTATAAGTGGCCCTATCTTGTTCTATACATTTGTTAGACATTTAATAAAACTATTAGATTGTACTAACACTACTAACCAAATCCTCTTGGCCTGTATGAAGCTGCAATTAAATGGACTTTGTATAGGGAGAACAAAAGGAACTCTTCTTTTCTGTGGGTCTTAGGCCCCTGAGTATCCACCTAGCAGATCCAGACTCGCCTTCCGCCCATAGATTATAACCAGTATCTTGACATAGATGAGCACTGGCCTTATCCTATGCCGGGGTGGGCAAACTATGGTCAGATGGGCAGGATCCCCTGGGAGAATAACATGAAGGGCAAAGGGGTCCAGGAGAGCTGGCTGTATTTTAAAGAATCCTTATTGCGGTTGCAGGAACAAACCATCCCGATGTGTAGAAAGAATAGTAAATATGGCAGGCGACCAGCTTGGCTAAACAGTGAAATCCTTGCTGATCTTAAACGCAAAAAAGAAGCTTACAAGAAGTGGAAGATTGGACAAATGACCAGGGAGGAGTATAAAAATATTGCTCAGGCATGCAGGAGTGAAATTAGGAAGGCCAAATCACACTTGGAGTTGCAGCTAGCAAGAGATGTTAAGAGTAACAAGAAGGGTTTCTTCGGTATGTTAGCAACAAGAAGAAAGTCAAGGAAAGTGTGGGCCCCTTACTGAATGAGGGAGGCAACCTAGTGACCGAGGATGTGGAAAAAGCTAATGTACTCAATGATTTTTTTGCCTCTGTCTTCACGAACAAGGTCAGCTCCCAGACTGCTGCACTGGGCAGCACAGTATGGGGAGAAGGTGACCAGCCCTCTGTGGAGAAAGAAGTGGTTCGGGACTATTTAGAAAAACTGGACATGCACAAGTCCATGGGGCCGGATGTACTGCATCCGAGGGTGCTAAAGGAGTTGGCGGATGAGATTGCAGAGCCATTAGCCATTATTTTTGAAAACTCATGGCGATCGTGGGAGGTCCTGGATGACTGGAAAAAGGCTAATGTAGTGCCCATCTTTAAAAAAGGGAAGGAGGAGGATCTGGGGAACTACAGACCAGTCAGCCTCACCTCAATTCCTGGAAAAATCATGGAGCAGGTCCTCAAGGAATCAATTATGAAACACTTAGAGGAGAGGGAAGTGATCAGGAACAGTCAGCATGGATTCACCAAGGGGAAGTCGTGCCTGACTAACTTAATTGCCTTCTATGATGAGATAACTGCCTCTGTGGATGAGGGGAAAGCAGTGGATGTGTTATTCCTTGACTTTAGCAAAGCTTTTGATACGGTCTCCCATAGTATTCTTGCCGCCAAGTTAAAGAAGTATGGGCTGGATGAATGCAGTGTAAGGTGGATAGAAAGCTGGCTAGATCGTCCGGCTCGACGGGTAGTGATCAATGGCTCCATGTCTAGTTGGCAGCCGGTTTCAAGCGGAGTGCCCCAAGGGTCGGTCCTGGGGCCGGTTTTGTTTAATATGTTTATTAATGATCTGGAGGATGGTGTGGACTGCACTCTCAGCAAGTTTGCAGATGACACTAAACTGGGAGGCGTGGTAGATACACTAGAGGGTAGGGATCGGATACAGAGGGACCTAGACAAATTAGAGGATTGGGCCAAAAAAAACCTGATGAGGTTCACCAAGGACAAGTGCAGAGTCCTGCACTTAAGACGGAAGAATCCCATGCACTGCTACAGACTAGGGACCGAATGGGTAGGTAGCAGTTCTGCACAAAAGGACCTAGGGGTCACAGTGGACGAGAAGCTGGATATGAGTCAACAGTGTGCTCTTGTTGCCAAGAAGGCTAACGGCATTTTGGGCTGTATAAGTAGGGGCATTGCCAGCAGATCGAGGAACGTGATCGTTCCCCTTTATTCGACATTGGTGAGGCCTCATCTGGAGTACTGTGTCCAGTTTTGGGCCCCACACTACAAGAAGGATGTGGAAAAATTGGAAAGAGTCCAGCGAAGGGCAACAAAAATGATTAGGGGTCTGGAGCACATGACTTATGAGGAGAGGCTGAGGGAACTGGGATTGTTTAGTCTCCAGAAGAGAAGAATGAGGGGGGATTTGATAGCTGCTTTCAACTACTGAGGGGGGGTTCCAAAGAGGATGGAGCTCGGCTGTTCTCAGTGGTGGCAGATGACAGAACAAGGAGCAATGGTCTCAAGTTGCAGTGGGGGAGGTCTAGGTTGGATATTAGGAAACACTATTTCACTAGGAGGGTGGTGAAGCACTGGAATGCATTACCTAGGGAGGTGGTGGAGTCTCCTTCCTTGGAGGTTTTTAAGGCCCGGCTTGACAAAGCCCTGGCTGGGATGATTTAGTTGGGAATTGGTCCTGCTTTGAGCAGGGCATTGGACTAGATGACCTCCTGAGGTCCCTTCCAGCCCTGATATTCTATGATTCTATGATTGAGGGCCGCTTCCGGCCTGTCGTACATTTTTATCTTGCCCTTGAGCTCCCATCGGGGGCTTGCCCTGCTCCATCCGCTGCTCCCGCTGGGGAGTGGGGTTGGGGGCTTGCTCTGGTCCGCCCGGCCAGCGCTCCCAGCAGGGAGCATGTTCGAGGGCTTGCCCTGCTCCAGTGCTCTAGCTGGGGAATGGCGTCGGGGGTTTACCCTGCTCTGCCCGCCTAGTGCTACCCAGCCCCGGGCTCACAATTCCAGCATCTTCCGGCACATGCAGAGCCACACTGCGCAGGCGCAACTTCACCATGCTGTTTCCAGGATCGGAACCCTGCCCCTACGTGACAACCCCCCTCCCCCCAACGGCAGAGTGCCCAATCCCCTCCCGGTCTCCTACGGCCTCACCCTCGAGAACCTCAAAACTACCCAGGAGCCGCACCCGTCCCAGCTAGGGGGTGCCTCCGCCCGTGGCAGTGCCTGGTACAGCTGCCTTGGTGTCACTGCCACTAGGTCCCGAGGAGTCCCTGGTACCACCCCTGTAGGGTCCCCCACCCCATGAGTCCATCCTCCCCTGACTTCAGTAACATCCCTTATAGAGCTCCCCCCATGCTACACCCCATAAAGTCCCCCCCACCAGGCATTCATGGCCTGCCATACAATTTTCATACCCAGATGTGGCCCTCAGGCCAAAAAGTTTGCCTACCCCGTCCTATGCAAAACTCCTCTGTCCAGTGGTGAGGCCAGAGCCGCACTCTACAGCATGTCAAAGTGAGAAGTTAAGAACTGTCTAGTGTAGCTCTCTTCAGCTTTGTACAAATACAAAATGGGAAATAACTGGCTAAGCAGCAGTGCTGCAGAAAAGGATCTGGGGGTTATAATGGGTCACAAATTGAATATAAGTCAACAGTGTGGTGCTGCTGCAAAAAAGGCAAATGTCATTCTGGGATGTATTAACAGGAGGGTCATATGTAAGACACACAAGGTAATTGTTCAGCCCTGCTTGGCACTGGTGAGGCCTCAGGTGGAGTGCTGTGTCCAGTTCTGGGCAGCACACTTTAAGAAAGATGTGAACAAATCGTAAAGAATCCAGAGGAGAGCAACAAAACTAAGAGGAAAATATAAGGAACGTCTAAAAGAATTGGGCATGTTTAGTCTAGAGCAGAGAATACTGCGGGCAGGGTGGGAGACATAGGTCTTCAAATATACAAATGGTTGTTATAAAGAGGGTGCTGATCAATTTCTCCACGTCCACCAAAGATAGGACAAGCAGTAATTAGCTTAGTTTGCAGTAATGGAGATTCAGGTTTGATTTTAAGAAATACTTTCTAACTATAATGATTAAGCACTGGAACATACAGGGAGGTTATGGAATTCCTATCACTGGAAGTTTTTAAGAACTGGTTAGACAAACACCTGTTGGTATACTTAATCCTGCCACAGCATCAGGGGTTGGACTAGATGATCTCTTGAGGTCCTTTCCAGCCCTACATTTTATATAAAAGTGTAACATCTGTAAAATAATCCTAACCTTTTTTCCTATTAAGGCTTCACCTTTTGTCAGCGTTTGACTCCTGAAGAATTTGAAGACCAGAAGCAACAAACAAGGCACCATCTTCAAGAGTTGATTCAAGAGATGGACAGTAATCCCACCATTTCTCTTAAGCAGAAAAAGAAGCTATTTAAAGAATTCCAAAAGCATCATTCTGTAGCACTATTGTAGTGATTTTGAAACTGAATGCGGTTTTGCACTGTAGCGGAATGTTTAGATGAGCCTTGTCAACTATCATTTTTAGAATGCAGACATGCTTATGAAGAGGACTCCTTTTCATAAGCATTAATTGTTAGAGTTGTATTGTTTTTCTACAGTAGATAAGAACGTTGGGCCTCTATTGCTGCTCTAAGTTTAGGGTCTGGTGACATTTCTATTGTGAAAGTTGTCTGGGTTTTATAGTCTGACTGAAATTCTGCATTCAAAGCACTTTTACTCTGACCTAAGTTAGTTACTAAAATTCTAGGTATTTAAAATTTTCTATGTCTGTAGTTCATAATTTTAGTCTAGTTCTAGGACTTATCTACATGGTGAGTTGGTGTGCATACAGTGCATTGGGGGGGAGTATGTCAAAGTGGACTATGGAACTTTTAATGCACCATAGCAGCATCCACATGGAAAATTAGTGTGCAGCAATCTAGTGTGCTGTCTGTTCACATCCTAGCTTGCCACATGGACAAGCCTCATGGATCTATAGGGCACAGATATAACAGTAAGTGTGTGCTGCAGGAAACTGACTTATGCTGGTGTACACTAGAGCCGCCCTGGGTAGTTTTTTTTTTTTTTTTTTAATCCTGCTCCCGTCCCACCCTGCAATTCCCACTCCCCCATTGTTTCTTGCATTTTTATCCCACTCCTACCTTAAAACCCACAAGAGAGACAGATTCCTCTATTCTACTGGGGAAAAAAAACCTGTCATCTATTATATAAAAAAATATAGAATTAAGCCACAATTTTACCACCAAAGGAATAAAACAAATCTTGCTTAAACCATGTAAAAATACTTTAACTCCTGATATAATAAACATCAAATCTTTCTATCCCTCACTTAAATTTAAGTATTAAAAGTTTTAAAGTGTTTTCTTGCAAATTATCACAGTTGTGTGGATTTTTGTTTTTTTGCCCACCCAATCTCACTTACAACAAAGCTATTATGGCAGCGGGACCCTTGGATCCCAGTCCCACTGCAGGGCTCTGGTCTACACCATAGATACAGGGATGGGCAGGTTTGTGTAGTAAATGTTTGATACAGAAATATTTGATTCCTGATTATAGCTGTGTATGTGTATAGTATGTTACCATAATGGTTCTTTGAGTAATTCTTAAATTATATTGTCCCATTAAGACTTAAATAATTGCCTTAACTGATATATTTAAAGTGTACATGTACCAGTTAAACACTTTAGTATGAGGCAATAACTCTTACCTGTGGAAATGCCTTACACACCCTTAGTGTTAGATTCTTGTTACCTCAGATTTTTCATCAGTTTAACTTTCTTCAGTTATTTTAGATTTGGCTATGGCAGCTGAGTCCTTACTATTTGCGGCTGCAAACATAGCCTGAGTAATACCTTCTATGCACAGTTTGTGCTTTGTAAAATCCTGAGTTAAAAACTTGCATAATGTTGAGTAAAAGTTGAGGAATGGATTACTTTATCTATGATCACCTGAAAAGTAGTCTGAGGGGAGGAGGGTGAGTGTGTGTGAGGTATAGCTTCAGTTCTTTATCTTCTCTCTACCTGCTACTATAATGCTGTGAAACATCAATTTTTGGAAAAAATAGGATTTAGACACATCAACTTTGAAATATACATTATAACAATGGCTAAAATTTACGAAGAGACAGCCTAACATTTTGAGCTGCAGCACAGATGTTTTTGAGGAAAGTTTTGGAACTTGAGTAGACTGCATATGTGCACTTTTAAAAATTTTTTATCCTTGAAGTGGTTGATCTACTGGAATAATCTTGCATTAGGAATTTAAAAATTAAGTGTCAATGTATCACTGTTATAAAGAATTGTATAAGAGGATTGGGAAAAATCTGTTTTATATTATGACTTAAATTTCACATTAAACAAGTTTTAATGATTATCTACTTAATACTAGTACAAATAAGCCTCTGTAGATGATTAACACCTTTCAAGAATAGATGACAGATTTTAAGGACAGTGTCAAAACAAAGTCGTGATACTGGAAAAAGCTTACACTGTCAGCTGACTCAAATCCAAACCAACAAGTAGTGTCTACACATTTGGAAGAGGTGGCACATCCCACTTATTTAAGGGGCTGACATACTACACAGTGCATTAAACTTTCTACAGCGAAAAAAATCTAGGAAGAGTTGCCAGAGCTGCTCAAGTACATTGTTTCCAAGACACTTCAAATTCCAAAAGCACATTAAGCTACTTTAAAAAGGGGTTGGAGCATTTAAGCTGCCATTTACTTAAATCACTACTTATATGAGCAAGATTACTACTGTATACTGAAGGGGCTATAGTTTACTAATTCAGTAAAACAATACTGCCATGAAATAAATCTCTTCCCTTAAACTATTGCAGTGGCTTTCCTTTGACACTTAATTTCAAAAGTGTCTGCTTTACCTTGGTAGGAACTTACTGTTTCTACCAAGCAATCGGTTGAACAAATCTTATGTAACATCTTGGCCAATGAGAATGTTATATTAGTGGGGCCTCATTTTTCAGAGGTGTTGAGCTCCTACAGCTCCTGTTTACTCTTTTATAGTACAGTTTTGGTGTTCAGCCTGTGAAACATCAGGCCCTTACTCACTTGGGTACTTAGCAGAGTCCTACAACATTTGAGTCATGTCCTCTATGAGGGAGGAAAAAGCAATCTCTCCATGTTAACCGTGAGGCTTTCTTCTAAATGAAGTATGAAGGTGGGTTCTATTAGGGGAAGGGAGCCTGGCAAAAAATAAGTTACTACACTTCCAGTTTTTCACAGTCAGTTATAATTTCAACCATACACCAGCATTCAAGGGAAATATATTCGATTTCTAAAAGTGCTTGTTTATCAACTATCTTTACCAATATTTGTGGCAGCACTACCTTGTTAAGGAATACTGCCTTTGCATCTCTTTATTGAGAATGTACTCCAACCATGGCAGCTACCAAATATGTAAATTAGAATAAAGTAATTATTCCAGGACCTTTTAATCATCTGCAGTTTTGTGGTGGTGCTAGGGAAAGAATGAGATTGAACTGACCTTAATGCAGAAGAACAGCTTCTCTCGATAGTGATGAATAAAGCTACGATTATGTCATGGAGGTTATGGAATCCGTGACTTCCATTGACCTCCGTGACATTTTATGCCCTGGGGCTGGAGCTCCTAGCCAGCCCCGCCCTCGCCCTGAACCTGGTGGGGGGACCCAGTGCAGCTGCAGCAGCCGGCCAGATCCGGCACAGCTGCCCAGTTGCAGGCAGACCCCCTGCATCTGCCCAGGGGGGGGACTCCCCCAAGCAGCCCAGTCCCAGCTACAGCCAGAGCCAATGGCTAGGGGACCCTGCAGCTACCAGCTGCTCAGGCAAGGGGACCCCCGCAGCAGCCCAGCCCCGCCCCAGGGGCAGGGGGACTCCAGAGCTCCCAGGCACCACATTGGTGGGGGACCTGGGAGCCCCAGCAGCAGTGGGTGCTGAACTCACCTATCCCTTTTGTCAGGGATATTTTTAGTGAAAGTCAGTGACAGGTCACAGGGTGCCATGAATTTTTGTTAATTTCCCATGACCGGTCCATGACTTTTACTAAAAATATCCATGACAAAAAACTTAGCCTTAGTGATGGATAATGTTCTGCTGCTAGCAAGAGGGCTGAGTACCTATTGCTATGGAAACAGTATCTTTACATTTCCTAATTTTTAAAAGTCTCAGCTAAAACTCATTTCTGCCACTCCTGACATTATCAGCTTACAAATGCAGATCATACCAGATATCCACAAACTACAAACTTTAAAATTTCAAATATCTAGTGTATGTACCATTTTTAAGATCTTAAGTGAGACTGTGTTCTATAACTACTTGGTAGAAGAAAGTATTCTCACATGCAGAGTTTAACCTTCACCTTGTAACCAGATTTGTTAATTCAGAACTGAATGAAGTCTTAGGGCTGGTCTATACTTAGCCGCTAGTTCGGCGGCTGGGGATCGAACTTCCGGGTTCGATTTATCGCGTCTGGTCTGGACGCGATAAATCGAACCAGGAAGTGCTCGCCGTCGACTGCGGTACTCCATCTCAACGAGAGGAGTACTGCGGAGTCGACGGGGGAGCCTGCCTGCCCCGTGTGGACCGTGTCTGAACTGCGGTAAGTTCGAAGTAAGGTATGTCGACTTCAGCTACGTTATTCACGTAGCTGAAGTTGCGTACCTTACTTCGACTTGGGGGGTTAGTGTAGACCAGGCCTTAGACTGCACACAAAATGGAGCTGTGGAAGAGACTTTAAAATGGAATCTAATGTTCCTGCCTAGATTCCCACTTTCCTTTGGGAAATAGAGGTTTTGCTACTCCTCTTGCCATTGTTTTGTCCCCAAGTGCCTGCTCTTAAATAGCATTAGCTACAACTTGTATAAAGTAGCAATTCTGCATGAAGGCACAATGAAACTCTACGGAGTATGTAGACACCTAACCCAGATCTTCAGCCCCAGCTAGTGGCCCAGGAGTTGCTCTGCCACGTCATTTCCATCTTCTGGAGAGCCCTGCCCCTTCCTTTTAAAGGTTCAAGAGCCAAAAAACATTTTGCCACCCAGAGGCAGTGCATCAAATATGACAAATTCTGGCCTTTGTATCAATACTTTAAGACTTCTTAATTTTGATAGGAAATCACTGTCACTTAACCCCTGCTCCTCTCCCTACGTTATAGTTCTTGGCTGACTCTTCTGGACTTTAGGTTTGCTTGCCTTGTTAATCCACCTATTTGCAATTGTCTGTCATTGAGTGGTAGCCACATGCTTCCTTGTAATTGATGTAGTCTAATTTTTTGAATGCTTATATGACCATCTGTGATTCCTACCCATTTGATTTCTTTTTTGCTAACTGATCTAGCCTCACTGGCTAATCATTCATAGTGCCTTGTCACTTAATTCACTAATCATAGTCTGATGCTACTCAGAGCTCTCTTGAATCATTTAGTTACTTCCCTTTTACCTGTCCAGCAGCCGGTACTATGGGTGAGAAACGAACAGCAGCTTCCTGTGCAGGAAGTGGAGATGGAATAACCGTCCAGGCCTAGCATGGCTGTTGTGGTTCGCACCTCCTGCACCCCACGTGGGTGCTTGACTGTTTCAAGCCTCGTGAGAAGTAAGGAGAACTGCCCTGGACTTGTTAGTGCTGTGCCTTTCTGGGGTTTGTGTCCAGCATTCATGCTGGCTGCTGCAGCATTAGATCTGGCTCACAACTGCCTATGCCCTGGCCTTCAATGTCAGTTTATTTCAATGGTAAATATATCTTCAATTCAAAATAAAACTCTACCTTTTCTTCTTCTCACTCTTTCCACTCCACTCCAGTCTTAAAACTCTGCCACCTCATTTCCACCAACAGCCAGCGAACCCTTTCACCACCTCAAATGGACCATATCTCTCTGAAGATAAGAGTCCAGCTTAGTGACATTTATGTTCTTTACATAGAATTAAATTAGTAGAACTCACTCTAAATTATCTAATTCTATCATTACTGGATTGTTCCATAAATCACTTCTAGTATTTTGTTGTAAAGTCACACGCACTTTGTTCAGTAA